AATGTCCCTGGCCACTACACATCAAATTTCTTAAATCTAGTTCCTGTTATTTACGGCTAGCCCAGTATAATGGGTTTCTTTTCAGGGTCGGCTACATTCACTTGCTTCGGGAGGACATCACACATACAACCAATCAACATGAGAATAATAGGTGGAACAATACAGGACACCAAGACAGTCTCTCAAGAAAAAAAGGCACAAACACAGAAAATAAGCTTATTCATAATATCATTTTCAATTTAAAAGATACATCATAAGGGGGGGGGGTCGTTGCGGCCGATCAGGAAACGGTGGGGCCCATGCGTAGAGGGAGAGAGAGAAAGGGATTTTGTAGTTTGGTTACCTCTGATGATAGGGTGGTCAGCTACTCCAATCGGCACCCATGATCCTGGTCTCCATGGGGGGGGGGGGGGGAACTCCGCCGATATGTTACCGAAGTCGTTGCGTAGATCCGTAGCTCGGCGTACCTTCTCGGTGCTTCGACAGAGTAGGGTTTGAATAACCGACGTTCCACGCGCTCGCAGACGGGGCAGTAGCACATTGGATTTTGGGCACTGGCAAGCGGGGGCGGACCCGCCAGACCTTACCAGACCCTCACCGCCACAGCTTTGGCTACTGCTCGCCCGTTGCGTGTGTCGTAGCAATGGCGGATACTCGCTAGACACCAGCGCGGGACTCGCCGATCCCCAACTCATTTCTTCCTGGATCGTGGTTAGAGCGCACGTGGGAACTATTGTCACCGTCTCCGTTTGCGGGTATTTATATGTGGGGGTCTCCTTGGTACCACTTTCCACACGGTTTCTCCAAGGCCAACACTCGTCGGAGGTCTCTGCTGGAGGAATTGAACCCAGGCTTCGGTCTTCCTTAAAATACTTTCCTTTCGGCCTCAGGTGGACAAGCACTCTCCTCAAACCACTTTTCTACTTCGTTCTTCGTTTTTCTTTCTATACTCTCGATCCAAACTCTTGAACGGTCTATTACTTTCTGCCGGCTTTAGCAAAACTCCTTCATCATCTCCCCTCTCTCTCCCTTTTCTTCCTTTTCCTCTCTTTCTTACTCTCATCTTCTAATTTTCCGGTGACCCGTGATGCCAACATTGGAGATGCATAAATGACATGTAATCGAACGGATAAGATGTGAGCCGTTTTCGAGGGGTTAGTAGATTTTAAACTAGGTAATATTAATGCGGACTTTGCCGTCTTTTGTTTTTTTATTTACATTTTTATTGTTTTTATTTATTTATTTATTTATTCACAGTTATCTGCATGCAAAGATTCACATTGAACGGTTTATATTTATGTTAGGTATAATTTATTTACAAATGAAAATGTGCCAAGGGAAAATATTGAATTCAAATTATTATTTCTATATATACATATATACATACTAACAAATCTAAACTAATGAAAAAAAGGACCTAACCCTAACCTTAACTAATCTCCTTGTGTGCCTTGCCTTGAATCAGACTATTGTTCCCAAGTTGTTGGTAACATTCCGTACTTTTTTTTTGCTGGATTCGTTCTGCAAAACACAATTTCTAACAAAATCTTTGTAAACAATATTATTCTACCAATTTTCCGCAATCAAAATTGCTGAATTTCCGTAATTTAATTAATTTTACCACAAACTGTAATTAAAAATTACTAATTAAAACTGTAAATGAAATTCCGCAATACTGTAAAAATTGTGACGAATGAACTGTAAACACAATATTTTACAAAAACAAACAGTAACTGCTGTACGAGATTTTTGTAAAAAATACTGAACATTTGTAAACTTCATAATATCAAACCCAACCTTTGCTGCCATTTCTAAGATAAGTTTTCTTCTGTGTTCCGAAGAGCCCTTTTCTCAATCGAACCTCATCGTCACTGTCATTTGAATCATTCACTATCATTTGATACACGACAGTAGAGTATGGAAGAAACCCAGCAAAATGCAGCAGCAGCGAACAGACATGTCGACCCGATGTCGGATCAATGTAAGGCAAATTTAAGGTCGATGTTGACCTAATATCGGGTTAATGATGGGTCAATTTAGGGTGTATGTCGGGTCAATGTCGGGTCAACATCGGGTTGGGGTTTGGTAGAAATCAGGTTGATGTCGGGTTGGCTTAGCTTTTTCGACCAGATCTCCGTTATACCCCGGACAGACTATGGCTTATATCATGTAATATAGGCTGTCTTGCAATGAGCACTCATATATCTAGTTTTCACTGGAAATCCTATGTATGAGTGCTCATTGCAAGACAGCCTATATTACATGATATAAGCCATAGTCTGTCCGGGGTATTAGAGTGTAGGTTACATATTGTCGAGCAGTTTTATGATAACGTCATTTTAAACTGCTCGAATGATGTGATCCATTGAATGATACACACTTAGAATTTTTTACAGAAATCTGTAAAATTTTACCGAAATCTCAACAGCTGAACGTTCGGTAAACAGTTTCGCAAATTTTCTGTAATTTTTCACAAATATCTGTGAACTTTTCACAGATATCTGTAAATAATTACAGAAAATCTGTAAAATTGTTTACCGAACGTTCAGCTGTTGAGATTTCGGTAAAATTTTACAGAAATCTGTGAAATAACCTTAGTGTATATCATGCGTTTCTCAAATGAGAATGATCCATGCACACTTAATCTAGCTCGGTAAAATCTCCAACAGCCGATTACCTCGGCATTTACTTTTGCTGATATCTCTGCAAAATATCTGTTTGTTAGCTGATATCTCAGCAAAAAGTTATTTGTTAGCTGAGTCTCGGCAATTGTTTTACTGAATCTCAGCAAAACAAATTGCAAAACTGCTCGGCTGTTGGAATCTCGGCGAAAAATTTTAAGTGTGTGCCTTCCTCAAATGACTAAGCAAACTGATATCACCCATTCGAAGGAGGTCCCTTTCATATCTAATAGCTGCTTTTCACATTTTCATCAAAAATGTTGAATTGATTTTGATAACTTACAGCACTGCGGTTCATACATATTTTCAAAGATGCACACTTAGAAAAAATCACCGACTTCAGTAATTCATTTACCGAATTCTCAACAGCTGAACGGTCGGTAATGTTTTCGGTAATCGAGAACATTACCGAAAGATCTGTAAACTGGATCAGCAAAATTAGCTGTCAAATTCACCGAACGATCGGTAACATTTACCGATGTGCAATGTGCATTGCTTGATTTGTAGTCGACTTTACCGGAGAACTGTAATTTTGAGGACGATATGCAAATCGAAAATTACCGAGTGATTTGTAATTTTATAAAAAGGTCACCGACTCAACTGTAATTTGCTGTAATATTGTTGGTGGTCACTGCAACCCATGCAAAAATTTGGCTGCAGCCGTGATCAATAAGCTAGTGTTGCAAATTACACCACCAATGAACAAACCGTTGGCGACTATCTGAAAACTTAAGTTTTGGAAGCATTGGAAGATCGTCGCCAACGGGAATGGAACTTGGACCGACAGAAAAAAAAAACAAGCAATAACATCGGCTATCTGTAATCGGTATTTATTTAGATAACGAAAATTAATTATTTACGGAAAATATCTACGATTTGCTCATCTTGGTGTTGCACAAGCACGAACGCTTTTAATGTCGATCGAAAATAACAATATGGTGGATTTGACGTTTACCTAGACCGTTACCGAACTCAGTAACGGAACGCTTTGTTTACCGAAACTTCAGTAAAATATTTCACCGAAGTCAGTGATGAAGCTGATTTACAGACCTGCCGGTAAAAATGTTTACCGTTTTCGGTAAATTAAAATAAAATTACCGAAATTCGGTCATTTCATTTACAGTTTTCAGCAATAAAGCGAGAAAATACCGAAACATCTGTAATTTTTAGCATTACCGATCTTAGACGGTAATTTTTTTACCGAACTCAGGGTCTCTGTTTAAGTGTGTGTGTTTGGATGATTGTCAACGCAGAGGAGGGAGTATAAAGATTTCTGACGTTTATCGTACGCACACTACGTCACGTATACCTATACGCAAAATGTTTTCATCGGAAAAACTACAAGGGACAGCACTATGGGGTTGTACGCAATGGTGGCGTAGGACTACGTGGTCTTATATAATAAACCTTATTTGTTAACTGCAGCAGGAGCTTGCGTTTTGTGTAGCAATAGGAATTTGGGTGGGGTTCTCTCTGTTTATACTCTTTAGTATGACGCGCTTGGCATAGATGGCCTACAGTGACTCACGAAGAGGTACTGATTTCGATCAATAGCCGTGCGGCTTCTTCCTCCTTCTTGTGCCTTTTGTTGTGTACTGGAGAACACCACCACTCACCGCGCGGTGAATAGACACCGTTTGGTGAGACCGGATGGAATACAGCTTTGAAATCTGTGTAAGGGAAATCACATTTCTCAGGCAATCGGTGATTATTTTTATTATCATAGCAACAGTTGCACATTCGTGAAATTTTCAATAGTGACATTCTGAAAATGATAAAGTTTCAAATTTGACAGATGCGTAGAAATATTTCTGATCGATTGGTGAAAAAATGATTGAAATTGGTTCAGGTGCAACTGAGTTATTAGCGTTTAAAATCTTTAATAATTTTGTTACATGTTCCATTCTCGGTTTTCACAAAGTGTACCCCATTTAAAATTAAAGACGTAGTCCTACGTCAAAAAAACTTCATAGCGGAAAATTTTCCCGATGATAACAAATCACTGACACAATCATACTTTAGCAATCTCTATAGTCGCTATACGTAATTTCGATCATTTTTATTTTTTCCGAAGTTGATATTTTAACGATCAATTAGTAGCATAGTTAAATACCTTAAATATATAGTTAAATAAATAGGATCTTAGATTAGACAGTGTCACAACCGACAATGAAACCTATACTAGCAATTTCATGGAAACGAGTTTTCCATATGATTTTTGTCGATACACAAAGGAGAACACGAGCAAACATTGTTTATTTACTTTTTTCTCACCTCTCGTGTAATTTGCGTCGCGTCCGTAGTCGATACTCGTACATACGCTTGGTGTCTCGGTCGAATAGCGAAACTCGTGGCTTCGGTGCTTATTTTCTCTCTGCTCGCGTACTAGGCAAGATGTGCGCGCGATTTAGAAGTAACTTGCCTGGAAAATTGCAAACAGTATTGTATCACTGACGGAACAAAGCTTGTTTTGGGGCCAACAACGACGGTGTAAATATCCACACACCCACGGAATCCGGTTCACAGCAAAGAAAGCAAAAAATCATTAAAAAAAAGTTTTGTGTTTTCAAAGTGTTGACCTTGCATCTCTGGTGTGGATTGCTGGGAAAAGTGATCGAAAGAGAATCTAAGGTTTGTTCTCGGAGGAAAACGAGCAGAATAAGCAAGGAAAAATATGTAAATCTTGACCTACAGTGAGTGAGTTTATGACTGTGGTATTTCTATTTTTGTCAGACGTAAACAAGCAAAATCTGTGATGTTACGAAACGAATAAGAGTTTCAATGTTAACCAAGCACATCGAGGTATAAATAAACTGTGAATTTGATGAGTAGAATAAGGCGACCTATAACCACTTGTCGAAACGAGAGTGAACATCTGTGAGAAACTCGAAAAGTAGCACCATATCGTCAAAATACCGCGCAATTGAAAAAAAAAGTGAAATCACCCTAGCGTTTTCAATGATATACAAGCATTTAGTATGAAAATAAACACAGTGCTAGACTAGTACAGAATAAAGAGGAGAAAATCGTTCAACAGCTGAAGCTGTTCGCCTTTGCTCTTACAGCTACTACCAGTAAATAGAAATACGTTCAGGTGTCATCTGTATTGACGACAGTGGATGATTATTTCAATGATAAACGCATCTTCTATTCGAATATTTCTCGTTGCTGGATAGACAATCCCAATCTGAAGGTAATTAAAAAAGAAAACAGCACTTTACCAATCAAAGATTTGGTAGTTATATATACACACACGTGCTGATTGACTAATATCACAATGAAAAACCAGTTTTCGTCATGACGATGTTGCTGCGTTCAGTCAGTACGTATTATATTTTTCATTCATCAGACAAACTTTTGATCTAGCGAAATATTTTCAATGGAAATATATTGCTGGAAAGGGGTACAATCTCATTTGTTCATTACGTGTATCCAACATGCTCATTGTGCATTGAATATTATTGTGTATATCACCAACGCGACCAACTACCAGCTTTGGAATAACAGAGACCAGTAACCACTACGACGCGACGCGCGTGCATCCATCAAATGCTATGAAAAAGTTTCTTTGTTGTTACGTTAGCCACCTTCTTAGCAACGTCTCTAGTTAGGTGGTAGCAGGCTGTCGGTAGATACGGTAGATACAGACACATGATGAATACGCCAGTTTGTTCTCGCTTCGAGTAAGCTTTAAGTACCACCGTGTGTACGATATTATTCATCAGGGTGGTTCACGATGGTTTCAATTAAAGTAGCTCATTTTACAGTCACAGGTTTACATTTGCACTGTATCCTTGAATTATTCCTACGAATTTTATATATACGGCATTCAGCATTGTATACTACTGAACTTGAAAATACAGATTTCTATTCTCAAAAGCCTATTAGTCATAAACGAAAACCAAATGCTATATCAACTGGATGTCAACTCAGGCATAATATTTGATAACGGCACAAAAGCATTTGTAAACAAACATTCTAAGGCCCTTTAGACGCGAACTAAAGTACGCCCACGCAAACCAATACCACTTACGGAAAGGTGATAGTTGCCCCTATGCGATGATGTTGTTGGTTTGCGTGGGCGTACTTTGGTTCGCGTGTAAAGGGCCTAAGGTTTGTTTACAAATGCTTTTGTGCCGTTATCAAATGTTATGCCTGAACTATTCTACCACAAGACACATCGCATGTTCCATATTTAATTCCAAAATTCTAGGTGTTGGTTGCAAAAATTTGGAAAATTTCAACACAAAATAGTTAATATTAAAAACAATATCTATCAATGAAAAAATTATAAAGTTAATAACACAACACACGCCCGATACACCACCCTAACCACGCACTAGTCATACTTAGCGTTGTCTATTCACCAGCGGGCTCGTGCACTCAGACAACCAAACCGGACAGCTGATTTCTATAAAGCTACAACATCGAACGAATAAATAAATACAGAAACCATGATTTAGAATAGCTGCTAACTGCTTGCTGCTTCGTTTCCTTTATCTTTCGTCATGTAATTTATAATCACTCGTAATATCCATAAAACCCAAGTTTACGATATAAACTGCGCAGAAGCGGAACAGCGATTTCGTACTACAACACTCTTCGTTCGTTGGAAAAAAACCTCTTTGTTTTGTCTCGTCCCATAGAAGGAGTAAACGGATCGATAATCACAACAACTCATTGGCCAGCGTAGTCTCCTTTTACCACACGTTGTCGCTCGTATACAGTGATGTTCCGATTTTATCAAAGATTGTTGTTCTCAAATTGTTTGTAGTATAAATGCTTACATTTAATAGCGACTCAAACAGCGACGTGTATTTTCGAATCAAAGGCATTGGGTACGTGTTAATAAAATCGAGACATCACTGTAATTGTCTAAGGGTGTTGAGGCTGGGACATACTGCAAACACAGAGCAAAGGCTTTACTCTCCAACAGACATCGTCTGGTTTCCGCTGTGTTGTAGCACAATAACTCATAGCCTGTCGCTACTGAAGGTCAGCAAAGTTCAAAATGACAAATATAGTAATTTTGTGCGTTTCCTGTTGAAGAAGATCAAGATTAATGCAAAAGTTCAATAAACAACTGGTACCAGTTGATGATTGAGCGAATAACTTTACTTGTGGACAAATTCCTACATAACGCTGGATTCGATTTATGAATGCAACAGTTTAAATATGTCATTTTTTTTATTATGATTACTGCAAAAATGATTTCAGGGTCGCGTGTTGATGCTAACATAATAAATTACTAATTTAAAATTAAGCATTATGACAGACGTATCAAGTAAAGTCATTACACATCTTCCGCTTAACCCTTTATAACAGCATTTCTAAATTATGTCGAGGCTGAAGATTAACGGCGCCGGTGGTGTAGTGGTAAGCGTCAGAGTGAGAGCACCCTTCAAAGGCGTGCCCCTTTGTCAGTTAAAATTGGATTCCTTAGTAACAAAAATATGCAATGACACCGATAATGACCATGCATCAGAACCCTAGACTTAACCACTTCAAACTAAAGCCCTACAGTAAAAGTATGGACGTCTGTCATAAGTTGTTCCAATCGAACCGTCAAAATGCACCGCTTTGCTCGATTGGAACAGCTTTTTTCAGTTTTGTGGTGACAGTCGTCCATACTTTTACTGTAGGGCTTTACTTCAAACTAGGGAAAAACGAATAGAAAATTAGGTATCACATAGATGAAGTCTAACTAACTCGTTTTTTTTCCTTGTTTCAAGTTCACCCTCGGTTGACAAAGCCGAGTATTGTCACTATCAACAAGGCATAAAAAGTAACAAGACTTAGATGCGTTCCTTTGATTACTGAAATATACTACACTAATAAAAATTCAATGATTATTTTTATGTGTCTCACACATGAATTTTTGCAATGTGATAAACAAATGATATATATGTGTCGGGCACATATACTTCTTATGTGTACACATAAAATTCATGTGTAACCACACATACTATAAATTTGACTCATAAATTTCATGTGTACTTCTGAGTGGTTTCAGTTTATGTGTGGACACATGAAAATCATGTGGAATTTTACATGGAAATTCGCAAATAAAAATGTGTCGAATTTTATGAGTGTACTTTGAAGTAGTCAAGACTAGTGGTAGATCGGTGGTAGATCTTACATCCAGTAACGTACCACGGAAAAGTGATCTACCCACATTACGGGGCATGCTTCCAGTTACATCATAATTCATTAATAATGAAAGGAACTGTGACACTTTTAAATTGGACAATATTTTGCTAGTGCTGGATATTTTTCTCAACCTCTGCACTGCCCATAAAAGGATAATTGTCCCATATATGCTTGATTTCCTATTCATATGGGGCAGTTATGATTTTATTAATATTTCCACCAACACTTTCTGTTCACTCACAATATTTATATAGGGTAGATGTTGCTTAATATGCTGTGTCCAAAATAAAATGTTTAATATGCTGTGCCCAATAAGCAGCCATCGGTTGTGTTTTTGATCATATACAAACACAAACAATTGTGTTTTTGATCATATACAAAACTTACCCTTATCACATGAAGACTTTTCTTGTAAATAGATATTGGATTAAAGTCCCCTTCTTATAAGATATAATAGGCCTATCGGTCGATTAAAGAATGTTAATTAGGTTCATAAGTGTCTACGGCCCGCAAATTAAAAAAAAAAATTGGCGATTGTCTACGCATGTTGAGGGAGGGGGTCTAAGACCTCTCGAAAATGGTATATGTAGTTAATGAACATCCCAGGATTTATCCGCTCTTATGGCGTTAAGCTCCAACTCGGATTAAGTTTCAATCCCGTGCATATAATCGTATTGATTAACTATGATGTCGACATCAAAGCAGCCGGACAGTCTTGATCGGGATTTAATCCAAGGATAATACCAGTTGGAGTTTACCATTATTAGAAAGTATTGTGTCTTAATATGCCTTTGTAATGATGTGCCCAATTATTTCCTATGATGGTACCTTATTTTATTATTTTGCATGATTATGTTATAAGGCGTTCCCAGCAGCAAATTATCCGTGTATTCACTTCACATACATTTTCTGAACATTTCTCAATATGTTTGTGTTGATTTTGATGTTACAAGCATAATACAGTAATTGATTAATTATTTTGAATAGGTCTCTGTTATCATTTCTCATTTACACCATACGTGTTTCTGTAATATTGAAATCTAGGCTGTTAGAAAATTGTAATAATTGAAGAGCTTTGAGTGGGTTGGTTTATTTCGTTTAAATTCCTTATAATTGCTTGTCTTTTAACAGATACGCGTGTTTCGTCTACTACTTGCAGACTTCATCAGTGCCAAGTACTCAACATCACTGTTGGTGTTGAGTACTTGGCACTGATGAAGTCTGCAAGTAGTAGACGAAATACGCGTATCTGTCAAAAGATAAGCAATTATAACGGAATTTAAAGGAAATAAACCAACCCACTCAAAGCTCTTTATAAAGGGATTCCGTTAAGAGGTTCGACAAATTTAAAGGATTGTAATAATTGTTTTGTGTTTGGGGGAAGTTTCAAAAAGTTGTTGGGTTATTGCTCTCCTGTGATCAAATGCAGCAATCTTGCCAGTACGATACGCATACAGGTCTGGTCCCGGTGTGTGAGATATTTACTCATCAAACCAACCTGATCGTTTCTCGACTTTCTCTGTAGCTCCGACAGTATTTGAGCGACTGCCCTGCTGACGGCATTCCAGGTGCTGTCCTCTAGACACATGTCATCAACAATATTCTCTGCATTAAGGACAGGCACCTCCCTTCACACTGCTTCAAATCTAGGACAGTTAAAGACTACGTGCTCCGGTGATTCCTCCACATTCCACACTCCGTGCAGAGGGGTGACGTTGCGTGTCCGAACCGATGTAGGTACTGCCTTAAGCCACCAGGAATAGGAATTGCGTCAAGTGGAAGTTTACCTCTCCGTGCTAGCTCTTCACCCAGCTGGAGAGAATCGGTATTACCTTGTGCGTCAAACTACCGTTCAAGACGGAACGAAATTAAAATTACGCCGAGTCAGTGACTTTTTAATAATTGTTGTAACACTGAAAAATATGTTCCACACGATGGTGATAATGGATATTTTACTTGATTGTAGTCTTGAATGGTTTGAGCACGCTTATTACAGATTAAAATATCTGAATTTAACATTTGATAAAATATATGCAATTTAAT